CGGTGCCCCGCCACTTGCCGGTCAGCGGCTGCCAGAGGCCCCAGTTGATCCACTGCCGCTCGAACTCGTTAACGAATCGGTCCCGCCAACTGTCTTCCACTGTCTGGTCGCCCGGCCGCACAACCATCGATGAGCTGAGGATTAGGAACTTATGGCGCACCCAACGATTCACCTTGAACACCTGCACCTGCTGCGTCTGTATGTCGATCACCTCGATGTGGTACAAATACCAGGAGGGATACCGTCCCTCATTATTGTGGACAACTGCGATGCGGGTGGGTATCCGTATATCCCTGCTGCGCAGCCACAATATATACGTGGAGTTGCGCGTCAGTTCGGGATTCTCCGGATTCTGCATTAGCGTAAACTGCAACTCAGCCCGCTTGGTTGTCTCAAAGATCAGACGCACCGTGGCCGTAGTCATAGCATTGTCCCGGTAGCCCGTTCTCAAGTAGATCAACAGGTCGTGCACATCCCGATCTGAGGCTTCCTCCAGGTCGGTCATGTCGCAGGCGATCGTTTTGCTAGGCTGATGATTATGATACCGAAACAACAGCACCAGCACGATGAACGTGCCTAACAACGCGATAATGTAAACGCTCAGAACGACCCAGTTGAATAGAATATCCTTGGTGATATCGATGGGCATCGCAATGGCGGGCACATAGTACACAAAGCTGGAAAATGTGCCCAAAACGCTGCAGTTGCAGTATATATAGCCCTGCCTTGGATACTGCAGTCCCGGCAGGCAGTTAATATGCTGCCAGTGCTGTTTAGATTGCTTCCAATAGTCGCAGCAGCGCACCTGAAAAACAAACGAGAAGTTAGCCGGACCACCGGGTATCGGGCCATCCGATTCATCGTCGCCAAACAACCGTATGACCAGATACACCCGTTCCGGCTCAGTGCATTTGTTGCGCAGTACCATCGTCGTGTTGGTCGAATGGGCCGGCACGCTACACTCGGAATCAGCAATGGCAGACACTAGATTTGTGGGGAGGTTTTTCATCACCAGGAGCAATTTTAGCCGGTGTGTGGTGTTCTTGAAGAGCACGGCAACCATAGACCCCTGCTGTAACTGCATGCGATATGCGAGCAGTTGCATTTTCGTATTCAATTGGCCGTATTGCAAGCACCTCCCACATGTGCCAGTTTCTGCGATAATATTATCATTATCCGATTCATCCTGAGATGCCGTGGCTATTGATCTGCTCTTCCCCTCGATTTGTTGGCCATAGCTTCTGCTAGTATCGAGATCAAGCTGCTGGAATATACTATCAATTTCTTCTGTAAAATACAAAATTAAATCAAGAAATAGTCATGTTAAACTTTGTTCCCAATGGAACAGAGTCTAATTGTATGGGTGTTGTGACAATCTCAATGGCATCATTGGCAGAAAATATGTAAATTCAAATCATATGGGATATACACCTTACGATAATGAATAAATAAATAAATAAAGTTTAAGTAAACTAGAGAATGAAGTGGAACAAGAATGCTCTAGTTGATAAAGTTGTTAATCCACTTACGATTTTTGGGAATATTAAGGGCGGGCTTGAACCGGTCATTGACCGTTCGAAAGGAAATATAGCTATTATGCAACTGGAGTTCCTCTTGAAACTCATATCCGGTTTTGTAAGCATGCACAGTGAGCAACTTGTTACTCGGCTGCCTCTCCTCGGGATACCACCAGTTGAGCCTGCGTATTTTTGAGATGATCTTGATGCATACTTTATTTGTGAGGGGATCCTTAAGTTCATCAAGCAGTTCCGTCGACAGGTACACCGTATGCCGTGCGTCATTCGTATCGATGGCATACTCAAGGCCAGGCTTGAATAGCATGCAGCGCACCACGAGGGTCATAGTGTCTATAAGACCGCCTGCTGTGTCATCCGAGTCCGCGCCGTGTTTGCGAGCAGAGGATAGGAAACGACAAAGTCGCTCCGTTTGCCACAGGGATCTAACCCATCTCTCCGAATGCTCCTTCACCAACTCACTGTCAATTTGAGAGATCTCCTCGAGCAGATCATCAATGACTGGCTGTTGCAGTTTCTTATCCTTCACAGCCTGGTTATACTGATCGAAAATGGATTTGGCCGGAGGTTCTATGTCCCTGTTAATAGCAGTCATAAAATTACTGATCTTAATAAGTTCGATCGTCATATTCAAATATGGCATTTGGAGAAGGTGCCTCGCATCATTCGTATCCGTGACGATCTCAAAGTTTTCATTCAGCTTGCTCAGGCACTCTATCATAACCAACAAATTGATATCATTAATTGGCGTCAGATTGATAGCCAAGGTTTTTGTGAATTTAGCCAACAAGCTCAGCGTTATCAGCGATCTTGGATGAAATTCGCCGAAAGCTTTTATTAAGGTTAAGGCGGTTTTCGGTTCGCGTATTACATTGGCGACCGCTTGTGCTACCGCCATGAATCTTAATCGATCATTAACGTTGAAATATCTGGCCTGTGTTTCTTTAATATATGTCCACAAATCATTGGATGACTTCGTCGGTATATCACCCATCGAATGCACTGTCACCAATGGCATGTGTATCTTGGTGCATTTCCAATCTCTTTCACAGATCAACGCCATCAAATTTGTCACATTATTTGGCAAATACACTGGCCTATAGCAGTAAACGCATTCATGAATCAATACATCATCCGCATACACAAAAAACAGCTTGACTTTTGCGTTAAATTTCCAGCAACATGCGTTGAATTTCGTAATGACCTCAGTGCCAGTTGTCGGTGTTATGCGGCAGCTATAAATCGGGCTTTGGCGCGCCGTCAATAAATGCACCTTGGTGCCGATCCGAAAATCAGCTGTGATAGCGCGCAAAACGACTTTGCTTACTTCGTTGTTAGTTTGCAAACGCATGCGCAGATCTTTTGTCTGGGACGCCGCATATCCATCTAAATACCAAGCATATTTGGGCTTGTAACTGCCACAGTTGCGGCACTGGACCGCCATGTGCACAGTCTCCTCCGGATCATATGCATTCGACTCGCAGTTCTTTACGCACGTAACCTCCACCTGCAACGTTTTGAACTCCACAATTAGTAAAACCTGATGCGCACGCGATATTTGATGAGGATGAATATCGGAAGCCACTGACAGGCTAAACTCATATTTATTGCCAACAGCAAACGATTTACCGGGTATAAGAAAGGTCGCTTCTGCAAATAATCAGAAGAAAAATGCTAGATATATTATTCTATAGATTATTAACGTATTCAATATTACGTGTCCAAATTCGACCGTTGCACATTGCATTGTGAACATCATTTGACCTGCAGGTCCAGTTATATACATTAAATTGCTTTTCGTCTGGCTGTTTGGCGTAGTCCCGACTCGGCGAGCCATCCATGTAGATTTCTTCTTCTTCATGTACATTCCTCACAATGCCTCCACTAATGATCGCCTGCACTGCTTCCGCCAGGGCCTTCAGATAGCAGCGTGCTACAAATATTCTTCCGCCGGAGTCGCCGCTAATTTGCATAACATATTGATTGCGATACGGCCCCGACTCGTTGGGAAAGCGCAGAGCGTATGGTTCCAAGGTGAGACCCAGTGTTTGGTGATGAAACGTTTTCAACTTTTCTACAATTGAAAATATGCTGGATTAAGTTTGGCAATAATACAGATTAGACTCACTCGTCTCTGCCAAGTCCATCACGATCCAGGTGATATTATTCGTATCCATACCGCAATTGTTTAATAAATTTATCTCGATTTCGCAGCCGTACATCACACTGAACTCCATCGGGGTGTTTGGATGGAAGCAGGCTTCGTCTTCCGCATGGGGAATGCAGACATCGCGTGATATATTCATAGTCAAGAAAGTAGTCCTGGCAATGGGATTCAATCCAGATTGAGACTTTACACTGTACAAGCCGCCTAAGGTCAATCGGATGTTGCTTGACTGCCAGAAGGTTGCATTCAGCTCCGCAAAGTAACCCCGCTCATAGCTCAGGTTTACGCTGGGCACGATGTGGAGCCGCCTCAACTCCTTCGCAATATTATCCGTCTTTTGGAATAACGGTTTCATGGGTGGCTCAGTGTTTGGGCCAACGATCCACTGCGCCACCAGGTATCTCGATGAGCTAACTCGCAGCCTCAGCTCGCTTTTGGGATAGCCGGACATGGTGACCACCAATGGAGTCGGCACACCGTAAGACACCACCTTGTTGGCATACAGCCCCAAATCAATCCTATCGTCGTTTCTTGTCAGCGACACCAGCAATAAAACCAAGATATTCACTGTATATCCTCGGAGCTCCATGACGAGCTCCAACTACTGCTGATTCAGTCAGTTTTCTATTTTTCCGATTACATATTAACTGTACCAAATATGACTCAACAAAAATTTTCCAACTATTTTTCAAATATATGTATGTAAATATGTATGTATTCTGTGTCTGTTGTCGGCTGCCCAGCTGCTGTTTTTATACTAACCGAAACTGTATATTACAAAAATTACATATACAAAATATTTGTTCTTTAACAAATGGGTGCTACGATTGTTTTTATATAATCAAAATTGATCAATTAATAATGTTAAATAAATAGAGAATAATTTTGTTAAGCTTGAATAATCCTTGGCCCCGATAATATAATAGAATCACTTAAAATGATTAACTTTGTTGTTGGGACTATAGTTAAAAATTAAGGTTTTTTATTATTCTTTGTTTTACAACAAAATACAGACTAAATAATAAGTAAAATATATTTATTTATTTATGTATATATATTCTTATTATTATTAATATAGATCCCTCGAAACTCTCTTGGCTCTAAATGTTTACACTATATTTTGTTTTCATTCTTTCTTTTTTTTTTAACTTTTTTTTTTTTTATTAATTTTTTTGTTTTTTTTTTTTTTTTTTTTTTAGTGATTTTGTTTGTTTTTTATTTCTGTTCCAGTTATGTATTTTGTTGTTTGTTTGCTTTTGTTTTGTTTTGTTTGTGAAAAGAAAACTACGAAATGGTGGTTGGTATTGCAGTTCTTGCATAGGACATTATGCAAATTAGATTTATGTGCGATATAAGTAAACTAGCTAAAATGAAGTTTTGTTTCTTTTCTATTTTGGTTAAAAATAAATTTCATAATAATGTGCAGCCAGCGCCGCGAACAAGCAATAGCTCTTGAAGATTTTCCAATGATTTTTAGAAGTTTTTATTTTTTTTTTTTTTTAGTAATTTCATTTTGTACACTTAATCGCATGCTCTATACACTTTGAAATACATATATATATAGTTTTTTTTGGTTAAACGTCAAGTTTTACGCAACAAAGTAGAATAGAATAGATGAAATAATTTCGGGCTTTCAACAATTTACAGACTTGCTCAATTTGTGTGCGATATTTGAACATGCGGGGTTGAGGGGGTCGCAAGTCATGCAGAATTATTGCTCGTACAGCGGCGTCGGCTGACAACATTGGGCCCAAAATAATTCAAAACAATATTATAATATGAATATTAAAAAAATCAAAACTTTTACAAATTATAACGCACAAGGAGGTATGAAAGCGGTCCGCTAACACACAACTGCAGGATTCATATATATCTATATATATAAACATATATATTCCTGCTTGATCTTGTCTCATTCATAGGTCACCCGTCAATTCACATCATTTTCTTGATCGCTTCACACTCTGTTTAACTCCCTCTCTCTTCCTCTTTCTTGATCTGCTCTCACATATCTGATCTCAAACGCTGGCCGAGCGCAGGCGCCGCGAGTTTGTCGGCGGCATCCCCAAGCGAGTGAAGAGACCCGATTTGGTTGGCATGTTCGCCAGAATGTTAATTGACCTGGTTGCTTGCTTTAGACTTTGATCTGGATAGAAGTTACTCTAGTTTTGTGTGTGATTGCGTTTTGTTTGTTGATTTTTGTTGGTTGGATGGAGGAAAGTGAAGAGGCAGTTAAGGGGGAGTAGAGATATGAATGGATTAGAATTCGTGTTGCAAGAACAATAACTACAAAAATGTGATGCAAATTATTGCAACAAGCATTGCTTATACATATTGTTTGGTTATTGCTTTCAACACGACTGAATATGTGTGTGTGTGTGTCTGTGTCTGTCTGTCTGCCTGTCTGTGGCGTGGATCTCTCTCTGTGTGTGTGTGTCAGTTTATATGGATGTGTTTCATTCGTTTGATGTACGGTTTAAACTAAATGATAATGTATAGTTTAAATGGTAGTCGTGTTAACTAAATGTTAAAATCTGGATCTTACGAATACAGCACTAGAATCGTGCTCGCTGTACCCCAAGCGTTTTGTGTGCTTAAACACCTCATTCGTAATGCTCGTCACTGGCATTGACTGATCCAAATTCTCAGCCATGTTGAGCACTAGGCGCAAGTCTCTCTGCATATGACTTAATGGTTGCTGCGGATTAAAGTCGCCCTTGGCCATTTCTAAAAAAAAAAAACAGAAAAAAATGAGATAAAATAGAAAAACTAATTACATTGAATAAATGATTATAAATGCTATAATAACAAGTTCAAATATTACATTTTTTAAGTGAATACTAAATTTTATATCGTAAATTGTTAAATTCCTTGTTATACCTAAGTAAACATCACCAAATCTTGGAAAAACAAGCATTATTTAAGATATTATCTTAACTCTAAACCAGCTAAGACTCTCAGACATTATACCTATATTAAAACTATAAAATATACAAAATATATAGTGAGCTGTTAATGTAAGACAACTTTAAAAATAAAATAAAAAGTAATTTGAATTTAGGTATCGCTTCCAATTTAACATAACTATGCAAAATTCAAAATATATTTTGAGCTGCTTAAGTCCATTCTAAAACTAATTTTGTTTCGGAAACTGATACTGAAACTAATTGCAATTCATATCCTATTAAATCATGCCGAAGACTAGATTAAAACTTACCTTTGCCCTTGGCCAGCAGCAACGGCGATTTCATAGAAGTTAAGTCGAATATGTCTATGATATCGTTTAACGAAATGGAAAAACGATCAGCTATAAATGCAAAAGAGGAAAACAAAAAATAAATATACTTCTTCATATAATTTTCGAATCTACGTACCCAAAGCTAACGCCTCTGCCAGGCCGACGAGACTAACGCCCAGGATTGTTTGCAAAATGAGGTTCACTTTACATGCGTTGCCAACATCTGCTAGATAAGAACAATTGACCACATTTTAGTGTACGCTTGGGAATAAGTGAGAATTGCCATTGGCATGTCAACTTACTGCCCAAGAAGAAGGTGTTCTTGGCTATAGTTTTGAAGCAGGAATGGCACTCCTCAAAGACTGTGCGATCACCGCCGGCCAATATGATCAGCATGCCCTCGGCGGCCTCTTGTCGTGATCCATGAATTTGTGCCTCCAAATAGCGACCATTACATTGCTTGATGCCCTCTCCTATATCCATCGATGTCTCTGGATCAATGGTTGACATTTCGACGTATGCCTTATTTCGCAGATCCTTTAACTGCAAAACGCCACAGTTGCCAAATACGAGCTGCATAAACAAATTGAAATGCAATAAGAAAATTAATACATGAATACCATAATGTAAATACACTGAAATGTAAACAAATTAAAGAATTCGTGGCACTTACATCTTTGGCACCCTTGGGATCTGAGACACAGCAAAAGATTATGTCTGCTGCCTCCACGACATCCATGGGAGTGTCCTTAACCTCAGCCCCAGCATCCACAAAAGGCTGACACTGAAAATAAGAAATAAGAAATAAAGAGGGAGATGGGGTTTTATTTTTAATTTTTTTTTTTTTTTTTGTGGCAAATTTAACTCACCTTATCAATGGTGCGGTTCCAGACCACAACCTTGTGTTTTGTATAGATCAAGTCCTTGACAATGGTCGATCCCATCATGCCCAGACCGAGAAAACCAAATGTCTGATCCGACGGCACAATATCGCGATCTGCCAACGTATTGGAGCGCGAATTCATGTCAATGGCCTGTGTCTCGGGTCGTGTGACCACAGGTCGATCCAGCAGCGCAATTGCATTCGGTGTGCGCTTTGTTAATGAGCCTAAAAAGGCGTCTGTGTCGATGCGTGCTCGTGCCGCAAGCGATGACGAGCTAGCGCCATCGTAATCCGCATTCGGACTCTCATAGTGATCAGCTTCGCCAGATGCGGCGCGTCGTCCACGCTTAGCTGTGCTTGCACCGGTGGGCGTGTGTTGTGCCGAGATGCGACGCTTTTGTGCTGCTGCTGATTTGGCCGAAGCGGCTTTGCTCGCCTGCTTGCTGCTGACGGCAACAGCAGCACTGGACTTAGCTTTGGGTGTGCGTTTCGCTTGGCTCTTGACTGTGGGCGTAGTTGTCACAACTGGGGAAGTTGCATTATTTTCGACTGCAGCATTCGAGGTCAGCCCATCGGATTCATCGGGACTGCCAACCACATGAGGGACAACTCCATTGTTGCCATCAGTGCCCGTTTCGGGACTCTCATCGCTGTCAAGGCCGTCGCGAATCTTGTCAAAATCAGCTTCGGTAGTATGATTGCCCATGCCGCAGCTTTCATCGATTTGACTATCAATCTCGGCCGGATTCTCCACATATTTATCAATGTCGGCCATAGCGTGCCGAAAGGCAGCCGGCTTGCTAACCTTAGCAAGCTCATCCTTCCACGGTCCTTCAAAAGGCTTGATATTGTGCTCCTCAATCCAAGCGCTATACACACACACACGAACAGATACACGTACAATAAGTTAGCTATGATTTTTTTTCCTGTTAGATTATAGCACTTAATTCACTTACAAGTTTCGCGAACCAAAAAAGAACACACATTTCGTATTGGCGCGTCGCTGCTGGGCAAGCAGATCTAGCGGCGGCTCGACAATCTGCAACAAAACAGTTAAAAGCCAATTAAAAACGTTCAATTATACACACAGGAGAGCATATCTTTTCGCCATAACGCATACACACGCACACATATATTCTATTCATATATTATTTCCCTTCATTTTTCAGCTGTACATACAGTAGAAAGCTGTGATATTCCAAGCCAAAGACAGAACAAATACGCGCGCTGTTGATATCAATGCTTTACTCTCCCGTTTACAACAAATATTGTAGCGTGTAAGTGCGTTATGACGTCGACAGCGTAAGCAACAGCAACAGAGTCGGCAGTGCTCGACGTCCGACGCCTCTGCCGCTGCTGCATGAAAAAAGTACAGTCGAAAACAAACACGGCAGCGACAGCGGCAGCAGCAGCAGCAGCAACGTCGCCGTCGGCAGCATTATAAACATTACGCTTACCATTCCTGGCCATGGTGTGAAGCCCTTCATTTTGGCCCTGAAACATAAATACAATTTTCATTTTAATCAAGTTGTTTATATATTTTAAATGTTTTCATTTTTTCTCTTCATATCAATAACTACAAATTGGGCGCGCGCGCGCGCGAAAAAAGCGCCAACGCAGCGACGGCGACGTTTGCTGCAACAGCTATCGTCGGCAGCTATAACACAGTCGTGTGTGGGGTGTTTAGACAAAAAAAAAAAAAAAAAAACAACTGTATTTCACACTAAACATTATTTGCTTAATTGTGAACCAATTGTATTTTTTCGCAATTATTTTACGCTTGCCCAACACAGCGGCAATTGAGGTTATGTATGGTTTCACTATATTTTCTTGCAACAAATCGAACACAAAATATAACTTTTTTATAGCGAGCCAACTTTGCACTTTGTCAATTGTTGTTTGGAGCATCTTAAAATTTAGTTCTGCCAAAGCAGTCTTACCATATCAAGTCCTTGGGTTTGTAGATAAATTTCTCTGTTGAGTCGCCCGATAGCGACAGTTTTTTATTTTTCGACATGATGTTCTCAAGGCGTATATTAAACTTGGTTATTTTGCTGCTGTTGTTTGGACGACACACACAAGAAAATATTATTTATTTGCTTTAGCACAAACTCGTCGTAGGCAGCGCTTAATTAATTTTTTTAATTTTTCGTATGCAGCCTGCTTATTTTTTTTGTCTTTGTATGTGTGATGCGCTTTGTGTATGTCGATAAGAACTTTCATCGAAAACAAAAATGGCGCTCGACATGTGATGCGCATGCTTATCGATTATTTAGGACTTTTTTTGCAGAACAAGTTGGCATTTCTCTATTAGGTTGGCAGGTCATTACAAAAAATGTAAACATCAGTATGACCAGCTAATAGGGTATTTTATTTAAAACGAAACGGCTTGTACATTTGCTTCCATATGAATTATTCTCTTCCAATTATTTTGTAAATATAGTCAGAATGGTTTAAGATCTACAGATATGTTACCAGTTTATACGAAGTCTAACTGACACTTTAAAAAAAAAATATTTATCGTATATAAAATTTAAAAAAAAATTTACCCGAGTTTAGGCTTTCAATTGTTTTTTTTTTCAGCATCTGCCAGTATTAGAGATACAATATAAACTCTTTAATGCATAATTGGATAAATATTAATCTAGCGCAGCCTGCATGTTTGCCAAAAAATCGAACAAACCATTTAGCTAGAGCGCAATTCATAGATTTGCAAGATAAACAAGAAAGCGTGCCAAGTCTCTGAGCACACACACACAGACACAGACTCGCCATCCACACAATCAGCTTCTCCATCCCTTTCCAATCGTATCGCAAAGCGCTTTCCATTCAATGGCTTTTAACCCGTACGGCCCGATTTGTTTAAATAAACGTTTGGCAAAGCGCATCGCAAATGCTACAATTCAATTGAGTCCGTTAGCCACTGACCTCATCCACAATTGCTGTTTATCTTGTGCGTACGATCTTCCGCCCCTTTCGCCATTCAAGCGCACACATTGCGAATCCGGCAGTCGCATTAGAAATAGACCTTTCACTTAGGCCGAGAGAGACGAGAGTCCTTAACCGCAAGATAAATTACCACACGTAGGCAGGCACTTGCCGCAGCAGTCGGCATTCAACGACACTAAAGCATAATCCTCATAAATATGAAACAATCAAATAAAATAAAAAAGGAGTTAAGGATATAGGATATAGGATATGGGGGTTGGGTTGGGCACAGATGATAGACGACGACAGCGACCCAGTGGCATAAAACTTTTTTATAGGCGACCCGCAATGGTAAACAAACAAAAAAGAAGTGGAAAAAATGTAACAGTGAAAGTTTTAGAGGGTAAAAACGGAAAAAGGGGTAAAAAAAATATGGTGCACTTTTCTATAGAAAAACTCGCAACTTTTTTGAGGCAAAATAAATTGTTCACACTTTGTGTTGAAATTAGCCAGCTAAAGGTAAAGGGGTGGAAGATAGGCGGGTGCATGCAGTTTTAGATTGCAAATGATTTATAAGAGTAAATAGGTACACTCATACATGCATACATATTTATATACATACGTACTTGCGTATATATAATTTATAACATACATATATATTTATATATATAATATACATATAATTATAATAATAATAATTATGGATTATTTAAAATATAAATTTTTTTTTATATGAATATCCAGTTTTATTTAAAAGTACTGTAGGCAAAAATATTTACATATACATATGTATGTACATATATGTACAAATATCCATTTATGTAAGTTTACAAAATACACATACATGCATACATATGCATCTTTAAAAAGTACTGTAAGCATTCATATGTACATGTACATAAATGATGAATATGTATATGGTCGTAGTTCACATTGCACGAAAGCACAACATACATATGTACATACAAACATATGTACAAACATTCATGTAAACAAACTCGTCTGTGGAACGCAACTTCGCAAACAATATCAGATATTTAATTTTCTTTAGCAAAACGAATCCAACTCAAATTTTTAATGATATCTCACCCATTGGAAAATCCGAATCTTTTCACAATCGCCTTCACATAAAAGAAATGCGATACTTGACACACATGCATACACACACAGAACATGCATAAGCATTCACAATCTCAGGCTAATATGCATACATACTTAAACATGTTTACGTTTTCTCTATGCCGATATGCGTATGTATGTGGGCATGTGTGAGTGTTGGGCACTTTATGAATCCGGCAGTCGCCAGGCATAAACAGTCGCTCAGCCGATCGCTTCTGGCTAGTGTCGCGTTTTCAGTTATTTTGATCTTCATCTATGGGGAACATACAATAAGGAAAAATATGTTAAAATTCTAATTAAAAATGAATATTTGTGTAACGTTCTCTTTTTGTCATGAAATTCCTATTTTCTGCAACTGTATTCTTGTCGCGCGTGTACCCGTTTTTCTATTGTGGAGCACTTTTTTCTAGGGTTGTGAAATGTCTTACAGTTTACTTCTCTTAGCTTTGGCAAATGAACTATTAAATTTTCATCTCTAACTGCGCCAAATACTTAGTATATTGGTGAGTACTGCTTTCAAACATATGTATATAAATTCCATACACTCTACACATATAATCTCTTATATCTAATAAGCTGTGCTCAACAATTCACTCTAAATACATGCAGCGTCAGAAAATGCTGATAGTGTGAATTTTTTAGCCGCCGTTATAAGTTTTGTTTACAATTTGTATGAGTGTGCGTTAGCTAGAGATGGGTTTATTTGAAAGTGACTTCTTGAATCGATGAATGCACAACATATACAATTTGCATATGATAGTCATCTCTCATGTGCATGTGTGTGTGCCAAAGCACATGCTTAATTCTACTGTCTATTCGTGGCATCCTTGACGTGTAATTGCAGTAAATCGCTAAATCTAAATAATAATCTCATTTTTTTGTTTATCATTTAATACAGTTTTCTATATCAACACTTGGCGGATTTATTAAAGCGTGTCTAATCAAATTAACCGATGTAAGTCCTTTTGTACCCTTTATACATTGTATAATGTACGTTTTTTTTTTTTCAAATTTAGGTTAGATTTTTGTGCTTGAATAGCCACGATTTGATTGATCTAACAACCCCTCTAGAGCTGGCTGCTTATTTGCATATTATATGGATATAAGTGCATTTAGGAGATTTTTTATATGATAAATTAGGGATTTATTTATTTTTTTTACTAATGCAATCTGTTTAGCTGCGAATGCGAAGGGGAAGGTTAGGTTTGGGGCAGCGGTCGTCGCATTTGCTTCGGTAAGCTAAGGGCTATAATTACAATAAGAGAATTTTCATGGTCAAATGCAGCTGTTAACTGATTAAGCTACGTGTGATCGATGTATATAAATATATATATATATATATATATATATATATATATATATATATATATATATATATATATATATATATATATACTTATATACGTGCTAATAGTTAAGTATATTAAAGCTAAAGTTGTCATTCCATTAAACTCCATTTAACAGCAGCATCAAGCGAGTCAATAGCTGTGCCACAATGGGCTAAGTTTGAACGTTTTACCGTTTTACAATTGCAGTGAATGCGTTAATACAACAACAACAATTGCAACTGGCCGCCTGCTGTGGCAAATTGCGCTTTCAGCGTGGCACAAACAAGTGGCAAATAGGCACAAGGGCCTCCCTTCGCTGCGCTCAGTTGCGGCTTTTGGCACTTCACCCCTTTTTATGCAGTTTAAAGTGCGCAACGAAAGCTTCGTTGAAAATTCAATTAGCAAAAGTTGCTTAAAAGCACAAAATTGCCTTAAATTGGGCTAAGGACGAATTGCTTTATTTATATAAATGGGTAAACACTGGAGAGAGAGAGAGACTAATGAAATAGCGAGAGATAGAAAAGGAGGCAATCACAGAGAGAGAGAGAGAGAGGAGGGACTAAGGGAAGAGGAAGAGATAGAAAAAGAAACACACACAGAAATAGATAGATAGAGAGAGAGAGGGAGAGTGAGGAATATATGACTAAATATTCCCAGTATTTACACAAATTGCCTTATTTGTAGAAGAGAGTAAACAGTAAAAAGAGAGAGATCAAAAGAGATGAAATGGATAGCCAGAGATAGAAACTAAGGCCATTTATGTTATATAAAATCTTTACACGCAGTTGCCAGGGTATATTATTTAAAAGAAAATTGAAAACCAGCAGGGCATTCACATTAGGGATATGCGAATAAGATATACAGATATTAGACTGTTTCTGAAATTCTACCTTTCCGTTCTTTGCCATTTGAGTTGTCATTCCTTTAGCCAGTATTTTCGCAAATTATAGAACTATTGCATATTATATTAAATTATTATTATATTATTTATTATTTATATGTATAAATATTTATCATATACAGGAAAATTTTCCCATTATTTACATTTTTACGTTAAAAGATATAAGAAGTGAGCATGTTAAATTAGGACACTTGATGCTCTCGTTTTATTAATACATTCCATGAGAAACTCGTAGAGAGATCTTTAATAATATTTTCCTCATTTAAGAATCCATATTTATAAGTAGCTTATAAAAAAGCCTCACTCTATGTTGGTAACTGTAATAAGGCTTTAACTGCATATATATACATATATAAATACTTCCCCCACACAAAAGTTTGTCTTGCTTGGAAATCAGAGAAATTTCCACACGAATAATTCTCTTCGGAAAATTATTTGAACTTTAAGCTGTGGCTAGTAATTTCTTATATATATATATATATATATATATATATATATATATATATATATATATATTATAGTATACATATATATGTATATTTAGTAACTTTCCCTAATAGAATTTAGAGTGCAAATAAATATTTTCCTCCAAACAGTTCAACTGAAGCTAGCGTAAATGGAGCAGCAAACGGATCCGAAGCCGCGCGGAACCGCGGAGGCCATTCTGATTACACAGTATGTGAATCCGCAATTGTTCTGCTACGTCAAGTTGGAGCAGCTGCAGACTGTGGGCGGCTATGTGCGTTCTATTGAGAAGCGTTTGCCGAAGTTTTGTCGTCCGGATCGCCAGCGCACCAGTTATTGGCCGGATAAATACGTCATTGTGCACTATCGGCCGGTGAAGAAATTGTTGCGAGGGCTCGTCGTTGCTAGTCCGGCTCGCGATAGGTTTCTGGTGTGGGCCATTGACTATGGCTTCACCATCAACTGCAGAACGTCGGATTTGTACCAGTTGCCGTACCACCTGCATCAGCGCTACATCAATGTCGAGTGGGGCGGCATTCACTGTGTGGTGCCGCACACGGGCGGATCGTGGTCCAAGGTGGCAGTACGATTGCTGGACAAGCGCCTGGACGAAGCGAAGCGTCTGATCTTTAAGCTTCGGCATTGCAGCGAGGAGCACCAGAACTTGGGTCAGCTGCTGATGGACGAGCCGCCGGTGGATGCGGCCAGCTATTTGGTAAAGATGCAATGTGCTCGAATGGAAAACGTGGAGGTCAGCTTGGAGTTTGCTCGTAGAGTCCAGCAGGTGAACCAAGTAGATGTGGCGGAGCTGAATGAGGCAGATATTAAGCCCAGTTTACGTGTCCTTGCCGTGCTCCAGCTGGGTGAGGTTGGCTGTAGTCTGGCAACCCAAGTGCAGCCGCATGTGACCCCAAGCTGTCCGCTTAGCAAAGAGTCCAAGGAATACTTGGATTCCATTTTAAGGAATCGCTATCATAAACTGGGCACCACGACCCGTAACCTCACCTGCCCCTCAAAGCAGCTGGTTAGGTTGGAGGGCCTTTCCCGGATACGTGAAAAGCTTGCGGTACCCCAATCAGCAAAGCGTCTCAGCAGAATTAAGAGCAGAGCCGATGGCTCCGTAGATACGGCGCTCTCTCGCCCCACGGAGGCCAACAAGGTTAATAAACGCAATGTGGTAACATATTACAATAAGAGCCTAGAAGAGATCAATAAAAATAAGACGGATGCTGAAGACCAGTCGAAAAATCCGTCCCGCAAAGTCGGCTTCAATCTGGATGTGCATGAACCGTCCTCAAGTGCGAACAGAGGGGAACATGATACTGATTCCTTGCCTATAATCCAACAGCTCCCCGAAAAACCAACAGAAGTCCAGAAACCCTCAACCAATGATAAACTGCAGCTTCTGAGCTATGGCCTAAGTCATTTATCCTCGGAAAAGAATCCTTCATCCAAGTCTGCCTATTTGGAGAGTACACGCGAACGCAAGTTCGTCAAAACCATTCAGCCCTATCCGAATAAAGTGATTTGTGTCTACGATAGATCTGTGAAGAGGGACTCAATGAGTGCAAGTCCGGTTCAGACTTCATCTCCCAATTTGAATATACTAAAGCAAGTTAATAGAATATTCATCCCGAAAGCCATTATGAGCAGTGAAAATCAACCTATCCGACCGGATATAACAAAAGCCATTCCTGATTCATATAAAAATACGAACGTTTTTACGAAGCCGGATAATCTTGGACACTACACGTTGAGCAAGGAATCTATTAAGCCAACTCAAGAGTCGTCTTCGAAGCTAGATCTAGATAAGCTGGAGCGTATCTATAAGGAATACTCAAATTCAAATAATAAACCGCCAGTGTCTAACAATTCGCTTGAGCTGCAGCGCATCTATAATGCAATCCGTTTGCCCGTCGAGACTAATGCAATAGCCCCGAAGATCTGCAGTCTGGAGAACCAAGTGCTGGCGCACAGCAAGATCCCGGTGCAGCCGGTGCGTAGCTTAGGCAACTCGCTGTTCTGCCCGGAGGTGCTGCTAGCCATGCAGGCGATGAATATGAAGCCCACGCAGGCCACGCAGCGCTACGCCTGGCCGCACCTGATGCAGGGCCATTCCCTGGTGCTGGTGGATCGCATTGGCAGCGGTCGCTCCTGGTGCTACTTGCCCACGCTCTGCTCCCAAGTGGTAAGCTCGATGGGAACGACGGGCAGTGGCGTCAGTCTGGGTCCTGTGGCACTGCTGCTGGCCGACTCCGTAGCCAACGCCCAGGCGTTGTTCCATCAGTGCGATCAACTGATGACTGGCCACAAGACGAATATCCTGAAGGTGGTCAACTCACATGCGCACTCTCGCCAGAAGTTGCGACTGCGACTGCTCAATTCCTGCGGAATCCTGATCACAACGCCCACCCACTTGAAGCAGCTGCTGCAGGATGAGATGCAGCTGATCGATCCACGTCGCCTGAAGCACTTCATCATCGATGACTTCGATCGCATTTACGCGGCTCAGTCTGTTCTGCTCAACGAGTTGCTGCAATTGCTGCAGAGCATTTCCAAGCTCCGACTGCAATTGGTGCTCATCGCCCAGCAGTGGCATGGAAAGGTCTTTCTCGAGCTGTTGAGGCGCTTCGACGATAATCCTCTGCTGCTCTTTGGCGACTTCCTCGAGGCAGCTGTCTATGGCCGAGTCAAACTCAATGTGGCTGTGCTGCGTAGCAATAGGAAGATCGCACAGCTGCTCGACTATTTGGCAGCTCAACATCCTCTGGAGAGACGCACAATCATCTACTGCAAGGACGAGAAGGAGTTGGCTGTGCTACGGAAGGCGTTGACTGAGGCGGGCTACGACTGCCTGGAGTCCATTGATGCGGCTAGGCAGGTGAGTGGAAAAGTCTAGCTTTAACAATCTTAGGCCAACTGTTTCTTTGTATTTCTATTTTCCAGCAAGTGAAACAGTTGCTATTGGCCACGGATGCAGTGCAGCAGACTCCCCTGCCTCCGGGCAATTTTGAGCTAATGATTCACTACAGCTTGCCCGATTCTTGGTCCAAGTTCTCGTATCGCTTTCATGTTTTCAGCGAGAATATTAACAACTGTCTCTTGGCCCAAAAGCTGACTACGAAAATCGTCTCCTTCGTGATCCTGGACGAGAGCAATAGCCACGAGCTGCCGCGTCTGGTGCAGTTCTTTGAGGCTCACGACTTTGAGATGAGCGAGCAGATGCAGCAAATGGTGGCCAGCTGTCGCCAGCTGATAGACGAAAGTCGCCAGCTCTGCCCGCAAATTCTGCGCAGCGGCGAGTGCGTTCAGCTGTACTGCAACCGGAGGCATCATCCAATCCGTGGGGATTTCCAGCGGCCCGGCCAGGCTGCTCTGTGGCAACCAGGCACTGTGGTGCGCGGCAACCTCATCAAGGTCTACGATCCGGTGCACTTTGCCATTATGCCTGTCAGCTTCAGGAGCAGCGAGAGCCTCTCCTGGCAGCATGCCCCAAATATGACCATCCTGCGCAAGCTTAGCACCGCGCTCGACCTGCACATGAGCATTGGGCAGAATCGCCGACCGAAGCGAAAACTGAATATGTCCGACGTATGCGTTCTGCACCGCCGACTCAAATACCAGCGGGTTCGAATTGTGGATTTGTCCGAGCGCCTGGTGATTGTGCAGCAAATGGACGAGGGCACGGAGCTGCTGAAGGTACAATCTATGGAGCTATTCGAGTGTGATGGACGTTTCGCAGTGGACCCACCGTTGGCCATGGACGTTCGTCTGTGTGGACTGATGCCACCCGTTGGCGAGGGCGACTGGCAGAAGGAGGCGACGGCGTGGGTGACGAAGCTGCTGAGCAACCTCAATGAAAACCAACATTTGCAATTAACCGTAGAGCTGAGCATGCTCAATGTGGTCTACGCGAATGATATGGCCGTGCTGCAGGACTGTCCAGCGCTACAAACGAGTGTGAAGGCTACGCAACTGTACGATGAGCTGATCCTTCGGAACTATGCAAAATCTAATGAGCAAATCATAAAAAACTTGCACAAGCTGCATGTCGAGGTGGTGAACGAGCAGACGCGATTTCAACAAGAATTGTCTTGTTTAGAGGCTGGCCCAAGGGCAGACGACGAGCAGGTGAAGCAGAATGAGCTGGAACAAGACAAAGCTAAGCAGGATGAGGGCCTTGAAGAGATACCCAAAGGCACAGACTGCGTAGAGAATGGCGGGCTAATGCAATCCGCTTCCAGTTCCCAGATAAATTCCTTAGATAAATACTCGAATGAAAATGTAAAGGAGATGTCAACTAAGTCCGAGGGGATAGAGCTTCAACACGATAACAAATCCCCAGATGAAAACCTTGATAATACGAAGGATGAGTCAGAGAAGATTGATACAGATATAAATATCGAGAAAGAAAACGATTGCCCAGCCAACCACTTGATTAACAAGGATGCACTAGCTCCCAAGGAATTGATTGAAATAACTGAGCTTCAAGAGGCGCCATCCCACTCAAGTGACTCAGCGTACCTCAAGGACAGCATGTATTCATTTATGGAGATTTTGCTAAAGGATCTGAATTCCGATGATGCAGCGCTTCAAGAGTCAGCCAAAAATATGATGGAAGAAATACTGGCAACTGATAAGACGAGCCCCCAAAAACCAAATACTCCTATATTGGAAAGCAATGGCGATATATTGCCAAAGTCCAAGCTACAGTTAACACACGCTAGGTTGGCAAGTGCCTTATGCTGTGCCGCCGTCGCCGACAATGCAGTGCGTCCAAGGGTGTCCTGGCATCAGACTCTGCTGCAGCTAGAGCTCATCATCGAGCAGGAAGTGCCACAATACCAGCTCGTGCATCGGGACAATGTCCTCTTCTATCAGGTCACCGCGACGACGCCGCCGCAACGCTGCATACTCAATCTGCTGGGCGAGGTGAAGATATTATCGGAGCGGCAGCACGGCTATCGGCTGCGCATTAAACTGGCCAAGGTTGGCCTCCATGTCTACTGGCCCACTTTGCTGGACTCTTTGTCTGCGCAGCAGCACTGTCATTGGCTGGTCTATGACACGGAGCGCGCCAAGATTCCGCACTCCAACACGGGTCGCATACATTGGATGCGCTACATCCGCAAGCAATATGTTCATCAGGACGGCGAAAGCGACGATGGTGACGATTGGCCATCGGATGACCGGAATGATTTGTCGGACATAGATGTCGGTATAAACGAAACTGCAGATATATAGAAACTCTATAATAGAGTCATATATCAAATACTTTATAAACTATGTTCGCTTCTCTTTACTTTTTATTCATACTGGAGCTGCATGATTTTTTGTTTCTTTCATAAATTTGTAAATTTATATGCAATTCCTTATTTATTCCACCAAGAATTATAAACACACATCTTAAAAGTTTGTATACATTTTTACCAATTTTTGCAATTTTTTAAAATAATTTATTCTTCATGTTAATTATTTAAATTCAACTTGATTTCTATAAACAAATTTCCTAAAATAAAACCAATTAACTTTTTACTTTTATATATATATATATATATATATATATATAAATATATATATTTTTTAATATTTTATTCTTCATGTCAGTTATTCAAATTCAAATTGACTTCTACAACTAATTACTTTTTTTTACTATTTTCAAATAACATATCTACAAAAATTAAAAAAAAAATTTTAAACAAATACTATCAACGTAAATAACTTTAAAACAATTTTAAATTCAACTAGATTTGTAAAAAAAAAAAAAAAAAAAAAAAAATTAACTATGGAAAAATGTTGAATGTATCAATTTAGTTATAATTACAAACAAATTCTATATCAAACAAAGAAAACCCAGTATAGAAATTAGAAATTAAAAAAAAATCGAACAAAAGTATATAAAAAAAAATTATTTTCTGTATTAATTTTAATTATATATATTTTCGACCTTAAAATTATTTTCTTTGTAAATTCTTTAGGTATCCTAAAATATATATATAGTAATTATATTAAAATTTCTACAAATAAAATTTTAAAAAATATTTTATTGAATTTTATTTTATTACTTTTTTATTATATTTGAAACATATTGAGAAAATTATTTCGTGTATTGAAAATACATGACATTAATAATGTTTTAGAATGAAAGAAATAGCCCAACTTTTAACTTATCATACATCTCTTCATCTCAGTATAGAATTTCATAAGTGTTTAGCAGGGCAGGAAGTTTATCCTCCAGCTGCTCCTCGTCGAGCAAACCTTGCATGGAGGCAGTGAAATCGTTTAGTACTTGTATTAGGATGTCGGCATTTTCGGACTCTTGCTCAAGTACGGTCCACGATTTGCTGGCCAGGATGAGCGGGGCCAGATACTGCTCCAATTCATCCATGAGAAGGGTGCAGCGCTGCAATTTCACACTGTCCATCGATGGCAACAGCAGCGCAGCAACCTCAATGGGTGCATCCGTAGAGGGTAGCACACAGGCCGCCCAGATAACATTTCCATGATAAAAGGTACGCTGTATGCGTATATAGCGTCCGGGGAACCGCTCGGCCATGGACTTCTGGGGCAGCACGTTGGTCAATACGTTGGAGTTGACGATGTACAGTTGGTGGAAGTTCTTGAAGAACGTGTGGCTCGTAAACTGCTCCATAGAGGGCAGTTCGCTTATGGATCTCGAGTTTAATCGCCAGGGCGAATCAAAATCCAAGAGCATAACGGATCGGCTGTTATCGATGCATAGATGACGACGGGCTTCAGTGAAATTATTCTTAAAGAATCCCAGCAGTTGCAGGGCATCGCAATCGGAAAGATGGTACACGCCTTTGGCTATCTGCAGATATTCGAGTAATTTGATTGTACTCCAATGCTCGGCTCGAATTTTGTTTGTCGCATAGCATCCATCGAACAGGCTAACTGACTCGAGCACCGGCAATACATTTACTTTATTCAGTACGCTGCACGGTTTGCTTAAATTCGTTATCTGAACCAGTCGGAGACGTTTTCGAATCGGAGTCGGCGATGAATTTGCAATGGCTATTTTCGTGCACAGTGCCTTGGGGGACAGGCAACGGTCCGAGTCCAGAGTATAAAGACACCTTTGCATGGTTCAGAATGTCCACAGTTAAACTTTGGAAATACAAAGTAAAGGCTTTGGTAGTGCTGTACAGTGCGTAAATTGGTAAATGATTTGCCACTTGTATAATTATGAAACACTGGAGGAAGAGTATTTTTTTTAACTACTCCAAAAATATTTAAATGCAAAAGAAGTGCTGCACAACTTTCGCTGTAGTGCTGCAAAGTGCGTGCATCAATCAAATATAATTTACCACTTTGCATAATTATGAAGCACTGAAGAAGGTGGACAATTTTTTTCATAGCTGCTGTTAATATATGCAAATACAATAGAAGCGCTTGAAAAGTACTGCAGAGTGCGTGCACTCTTATTATTTTCTAATTTGCATATTTATGCAGCACTTCGCCAAGGATATTTATTCTTTTGCGAACTTTCAAGCACAATTTGGACTTTTTGGCTGTTATGATTCAAATGCAAAAAAGTACTGCGAATTTCCTCTTGGGTATTTGTGCCACACTTTTGGAAGGAAATTTATTCTTCTACGATCTTTGGAGTATTTTTGATTTAAATTATTATTATTATATTAAAATTACCCAATTGGAGATTTAATCCACATTGCCAAAAGTATGTTTAATCTTCTGCCCAATTTCAAATATTGACATTTTCGATTTAAAGGCGGGATTTTATAGCTTTTATTTATTATTATTATGTTTATATATATTATATATATGTTTATATATATTATATATAAAAAATTGCCTTTTATTCTTTCGCCCCATTCAAGATTCAGATTATATACTCCCAATTTTGTAAAAAAAAGTCGGTTGCTGTTTTTGCAAGCGCTAATTGAATTTAATTTAGATCAACATTTCTTTCTAGGTTACAGAACAGTTCTTATATTTGATATATATATATATAAAGTATATATATATATATATATATGTATATCTTTGTATTTATTATTTATACAGACTATAATACTTAAAATTAATAAAGAGCGTTTAATGGTTATTTTCTACGGTATATGCTATATAGATGTCGACTTTTCTGCTTATCTATCCTAACATTTACATTCATATATGGTTAAGCTGTTAATGATAGCATTTAAACTAAATAGTCATCAGTATAGATGCAAATACTATATATACATTCATTTTAAGACCTTCTATATTAGAAAAAACTAAAATTGAAAGTAAAATTTAAGGATTAAAAAAAATAGGGTTGATAAAAGATTAAGTATGTATGTATTTTCGAGATAATATTAGGTCGTCTGCGATTCAGTCGAGAAATTTGGTTGGCTATATAAAAATGTAATTCGATGTGGATTTAACTGAAATATGTAATTCCCTAATATTGGGATAACGAAATACGATAAGTTTAAGCAAATGGGTGAATATGTCTATGTCTATGTGACTGGTGAATATGTTATGCGATTTATGGATTATGAGCATAGTAATATTTTAGATGGATTATGGGCTATATAGTTATATGTATGTTGCTTATGATAATCGATGTTGCTGCTGCTGCTAGGTATGAGTTCCTTCTCACTTGTCGTATATGAATAATACATTCAGGTCTATATATAATTTGTATATATATATATCTAATTCAACTGCACTTAATTGATTTTTTTTTTGTTTAATTAAATTCTAGGACTTTGCGTACATTTCCTTTGGATGCCCGATTTACTCTTCTCTGGGAGCTAAAACAAGCTGCTCTGCTTGGCCAGGCTGCAGCTGTGAAGGGTCATGGTGCCCGTGGGATGAATTGCGAGGGCGGCGTGTATCGTTGGCGGCGGCGTCGTAACGGGGCCCCACGACAGCCGCTTTCAGTTCGGTCGTAACGGCAACATGCCATAATGTTGCTGATGTGCCTGCTGCTGTTGCTGTTGCTGCTGTTGCTGTTGCATCATCATTTGTTGCTGCTGCTGCTGCTGCTGCTGTTGTTGCTGTTGCTGTTGTTGTGCTGTTGTTGTCGTGATCGTTGGGGGCATCTGGGATGTGGTATAGGTGACAGCACAGGCAGCCGACTGGGAGACAACGACGGGCGCGCTCACCTTGCGCTCCGACTGCGTTCGTATGGGCTGTGGATGCGCTGCATTGGGCTGCGGCGGTGGGGCGTACATCAGCATGGGCGGGGGCGGCGGCGACGGCTCCACGCTGGGATGACGCGCTGGCGGCGTGACTGCCGAGCCATGATACGAGCCATACGAGCTGTCATCGGATTGCGCCGACTGTCCGCGATTGCGCGGACCGGTCATGCCATAGAGTTGCTGTTGCTGCTGCTGCTGTTGCTGTTGCTGTTGATCCCGACGTTCGAACTTGTGATTGCCGTCCAGGGGTGTGGGATTGTTGCGTGAGCCGTAGACCGGCTGGAAGCCCTGTGGTTGCGCCTGTGGCTCCGACATGTGCTGCTGCGGTGGCTGCAATTGCTGCTGCATGCCAACTGGCGCCTGTTGCTGCTGCTGCTGCTGTTGCTGTTGCTGCTGCTGCAATGGTTGCTGCTGTCCGCGCATAGAGCCGCGCATGGCATAGATGCTCTCGGTGCGCTGCTGCATCTGATTCTGCACGTTCTGATTCTGCAGATGCGACGATTGGGTTGCCGAGACGGCCTGCTGGTGATGTTGCTGCTGTTGCTGCTGCTGCTGTTGCGTGCGCATGGGATAGAGGCTCTGCGCTGGCACCAGTGGTCCGGGACGAGGCACAATGTCACGATTGATGGCCGTGTTGCTCTTGGCGTACACCGACTGCGAGCGATTCAAGTTGCTGCGCGTCAGCGTGGGCGAGCGACAGTAGAGCGAGCGAGTGCCGCCGTAGAGCGGCTCCTGCTGCTGCTGCTGCTGGTCGTACTTCGAGGAGAGCGGCGGTGCGGTGTACAGATTCTGACAGTAGTTGCCGGCTCCAGCGCCGACCACGCCCATGGGCGGCAAAGTGGCAGCGGCATGCTGACCAGCTGTGGCCCCCGCCCCATTCGTCTGGCCGCGCGGATAGGTGCCCTGCGACTGCTGATACTTGTTCGCCTTCTCCATGTCCATGTCGTAGTTCAGCTCATCCTCGGAGTGTATGGAGCTGGAGTCGTTGTCAATGCTGCCCTTGGCATGGCGCGCGCTGCGTCGCGAGCTGAATATATGCTCATACACCAGGCCGGATGCCATGCCGCCGACGAGCGGACCAAACCAATACACCCAATGATTATCCCATTTGTTCAGCACAAACGATGGACCCAAGGAGCGCGCCGGATTCAGATAGGGCATCTGCAATGGAAGAAGAGGGAAAATAAGAGTGTTAGAAAATGGAAAGAATGTGGAAATTGGAAGACTCTAAAGTGAGGCTTTGGCAAGGCGTAAGGGTGTGGAGCTAAT